GTTAAAAAGCCATGTTACTTATACGTTTTTTAACAATGCTGACTTCTTCAAATATATATATCATACCAATTCTCTGGTGCTTTCATTATTTGAAACAATCTCATTGTATGCCACTTTATTTTCAGTTTGCTGTAGCAGATCTGGCTTGAACTTTCCTGAAATATTAATATGATCTTTGAGATATTATTGACTTGAGAAAATGCTTCTACATGTTGAATAATTTGTACATATGGTGCATAACTTAAAAATACAAGGACTGAAAATAATAAATTTAAATTTATAATACATGTATTATAAAACACCTGCTTTTTACCACCCCCACCCCCCTTGGAAAAAATTTCTGGATTTTCCCTGATACATGTGCAAGTGTAAATTGAAAGGTAAAAATAAGAAAGGAAACAAATAAAGCTTTAAATACAAACCAATGGCTGATTTGGAGTTATCCGAGTTAATGTAAAAAGCACCCTTGACACTCCTCTTTCTAGATGACACTTGATTTCATTGGCAACATTATTTCAGCAGAGAAAGCTGAATACACTGTCTAGTCCATAGCTTGCTTCACCTGTAGTATTAAATACTTCTTTTAAACTATCTGTTCATAATCAGGGCCCTTATGAGCATACAACAAATACATACTTTTTATAAATTCATAAATATTACATGTACATAAATATTATATAAGGCCAAAAAAAATAGTCTTGTTTCCTGCTACCCAACTGACCCTATTTTTTTGGCACTTGATTCTTAAGTTGTTTCTTTTTTTCCATGCATCTTTTTACAATTTGCTTTTTGTCATGTAAATGTAAAGTAAATGACCACCATCATTTATACAAGGGGTTATAATAATTCAAAAGCATACATGTATCGATCTGTCAATCCAAAGCAGAAAAAGTTTACACATTTTTGCATTTGAACAATTTAAACAAAATATGTTTTTCCATATATTGTTTGAGTAACTAAACACCATCTCGTGTGTTAGACAGAGATAAGTATGATTACTTTACATATTTTCCAATTTTACCAATCTAGCCTTTATCATGTTATGACACCAGAAATGCCTGGTTTTGTTTTTCTATCCTGAAAGTTACAGTCTGGTCTTATAATAAGTTTTAAATTTTGCTTAAATAAAACTACTTTAGGGAGGGAAAAAAAATCAATGTAGGTAATTCAAGCTAAATCTAGTGGTTGTAAAAGACCTGTACGTAAACAAACAATGTCACATCAATTAACATCTGCAGGCTGGTCATGGTCTTTGATGTCTATATGAAAACAACATCAGACACAGACACCGGTGTACCCACGTGGTGCTGCAGTGGACACCGGACAAGGAGTAGTTTCACCAAAATTATGCTCATGGTCGGTTTCAGTCTCACTTCTATTTTGATTCTTATGAAGATGCTTCAATTTCAAGAACCGTAAAGATTTAATATGTATGGCAACTTTGCCTTTTGAATCGAGGAAATTTCTCGATTGCTTCGTCGGCCATCTTGTAGCATAGACAATAATGTGTAAATGGGGACTTTTATTTGACTGTGTTGCGGAATCCGGAAAAAAACAGCACGTGCAAATATGCAAATTCTTTCTATCACGTGATTACTATCGGTCTCTACCTTAATTGTGTCAAAATAATGTACATTTTGGTGTTCCTAGAGTATTGAAAATGCATATAGTTCCTACTGTGTATTCTAATGCGCGGTGACGAGGTTTTGGGCGTGTGGTAGAGATTTGAAGGTCATGAATTTCTAATGGATTTAATAAAGAATATTACACTGAATGTAAATATATGTAAATCAAACTCAGAAGTCAAGGTCCGAGGGGCAAAATAATTTTTACCAGTACCTAAGCCAGTTGTTTCCAAGTCAAATATTCTTTCTGTTGCGTTGGTCATAGACATTGTTTCTAAAGGTGTATAGGAAGCTCCACGATTGGTGCTGGTATGTTCTCTATATCATGACACCCCTCTAAAGCGCATCCAGATGCATACGAAGTTCCTTCTTTTACTTCATTTGATGTTTTATTCTGCTGTCTGTGAAATGAAAATGACATCTAAAGAACAAATATACCCCACAATTTATTGTACAATTGTAAGAACACTAAATATCTGTATCTAAATTGAAGCTAAATGATTGAAAATAAAAATCTCAATGAACAGTGGTGATTTTCATTAATTTTCCTCTTTCTTTTACTTTATTAATATTAAGAATATTATTTTGTCTGATTTTGAAAAAAAAAATACGTTATACACAAATCGGTACTCATTGTCGATCTCATTAAGATGTTAGATCTGCTCATTTATTTAAAGTTAATTTCAGCGTCAAACTTCAAGTTTATGTTTAACAATCTTTTTTAAACAATAATTTTATCAGTCTATTTCATAGCATTTCTCTTTGAAATTTAGCCCTTTGTTAAGACAACCCCTACAAACAGTGCGAACCACACAAAATTTCTGAAGAATAGTTGGGATGTATTTTGGAAAAGCGGGAAGGGGTGCTTGGTATGCTCTAAGTGTTCGCCATTAATGAGTTTTAATATAACGTTTCAAAGACTTGTCATACTGACAGACAACATTTTTTCCTATAGTATTTTGGATAAAACAATTCTGATCCATGTTATTTTTTTAACTGGGATATACTGAACGATCATTTTTGATTTCAAGATCTTAACCTATCTAGTTCAATGTGCAATCTAGTTCAATGTGCAATCAATTACAATAGCTCTTTCCAGGTATCGGTGTATCATTCCATTTAATTTTTTATCCAAATTTTATTTTTATGGAGATGTATAAATGTTCTGCTCTTCAACGATGGAATATTTTCACATCCACTGATCCCATGGTTTGACATTTTGGCGGCTTTCATTTTGTCAAATCGCCACCATTAATCGCTATATCATAAATACTAATATGAAGAAAGCGTTTTATTGACCTGTGTCGTTAAATTAATGTGAGCTCAAACCCGACTTTAAAAAGATATTTTAACGAACGAACTAACTTATAATAAACAACGTAAGACGATAAACGGTAAAAAAAAATATTTGCAATATTTTCCCAATAAAATTTTTTGAGCGGGGAGTATTTCAATGAGGAAGGCGGCAGTTTCAAACAAACTATAATTTTATTTTGGCCCAGTCCTACCTTTTAGTTTTGGTTTAAAAAATCGCCTCCTTTGTTTGGACTCTCTGCAGTAGCCTTCCTTTTGGCATGCTGCAGGTCTCTGAGTTTTGCCAGTCGCTCCGTGAAAAGACCTGGAGACAACCCCATCCTTCTGTTTGACTGAAAATAATGTAACCACACTCATTCAATTCATCAAACATGTGCAGTTATATCTAGAGAATATGCAAAAAATTGTAATACAAAATCACACACACATCAGTGCAGTGGTTAGGATTGTGGCGTAAGTATCTGTTGATGCTTACATCTTTGATTTGAATTGTCTTGTAGGAAAAAGAGAATTGTAATAATTCAAATGTAATTAAAAAAAACTTACAGATAAAAAGTACTTATGGCCTTCATTTTTCTGGTTGACACTTTCATCAATTCTGTACAAAAGACTGCCCAAACTACTGTAGTGGTTACTTTTGAGGACACAATGCTATTAAATTTTTCATTAGCTTGTGAAATTCCTAGTACACCTAGTTTATCAGCATTGCTTGCGTAAGTCTTGGAAACATCACAAAGAGCATTCTGTAGAGCAACATCATTCAAAGGTTTCCCACCCGGAAAAAGATTTGAATGTAATTTGGGATTCTCCACGAATCTACACACACCCCTGTCAACGCGCGATCGGCAACGCAGATGCGATCGGCAACGCGGATAGTTAAATTCAACTACATGAGGAAGATGAGGTTAAATAAAACCTTATTTTGTCCTATTTCCTCGCAATTTTCCTTCAACATTTCTGACTTTTTCAATGCTACTAGACATGTTTAACACCATAAAAGTCCTCTACGCATTAAAAATCACCGTATATTATGTTAAAATCAAATTTTCCCTGAACATTACTGCCCTAACGTGACCCACGAAGCTCGTTCAAGTGGCATTTCTTACCTTATTACATATACCCGACAGTCCAAAAGGCACATTTGCATTGTAAATAGGTAAATCATAAATTTTAAATCCGATTTGAAGTTCTTCATCACATAGAAAGCGTTGAAATAACGGTTTAAAGTGCACACATGCCAAACGTTTTGGCGATCGGCAACGACTCTATATGCGATCGTACAACAAAGAAAATGTGATAAACATGCGATCGTGCAACTTGAAATTTATAAAATATTTTTAATGAAATAAAGTCATAGATAGCCATGTAGTATGGGTGGAAAGTCTGTCGAAATAGAACGAGATACCGAGCATTTGATTTTCGAGATGGAAAGAGCGAATTTAACTCACGTTCTTGTATATTAGTTGAAGAATGTCCGTATTTTAAGAGAACAAAATTTAAAAGTCCATGGAACCCTAAAACTTGATATTATTTGATTATTGTTTAAAACAGACACCTATAGAGTGTTATAGGACCGAATTTTAGCAATATTGAAAAAAAAAGGTTTTATTGTCTATGAAATGACAGTGCAATTACAGGAGTTGGCATACATATCAAAAACTGAATTTTTTTCAGAAAATAAAAAAAATATGTATTAATACTATAAAAATAACGATCAAAGGAATTTGCATACCTAGCAATTTTACCGAATATTTTCAGTAAATGTTTTCAGTAAAAATGTGTTGTACACGCACGTGTTAATATAACAGCATTATGTATTACAGTATATTTTTTTATTTACTGAAAACTGTTATTATATTTAGTATTTTTTTTTTAAAATTAATTGCAAATTTTAATATCATGCACGTACATGTACAGTGTAGAATGGGGGTGGGTGGGGTGAAAACTTTACTTTCATAGGCGTCGGAAGCAAATTGAAGGGGGGGGGGGGCTAATTTGAAATGGGGGGGGGGGGGCTAAACCAATAGACTGGTTGTCCCTCTTTTGCAGTATATAGTTAAATCAGGGTAAGGCAGCTGGTAATTTTTGGATAAAATTTGGTTGTTCAAGAACTTGAATCATAACACCCCCTCCCTCCATCCCACACAACAAATTTTCGAAATTGAATTCTGAGTTAAGAAAATGTTCCTTTACTTAAACTTTGCATGATAAACCATCTAAGATATTTAGGGGTTTTTTTTTGGGGGGGGGGGGGGTGGCACTGTTATGAAAATTGAGGTAAAATTTCTACTTTCCATTTTTGTTAGCCATCAAACTCTTTTTCAATTGTATCTCTTTAATCTACGTAGTTAATTTCAATTTTCTGTATTAATGTAGAACAATTTTAAGAGTTAAAAAGGTATATAACAATGACTGATTGCCTAATTTAAATGTAAAATATCTATTGTATATCAAAATAAACTTTTTGACAACAAGATTCTCTGATTTGTGCTATTCTTATTTCGTGTGTTGTACGATCGCTATTTCTATGTTGTACGATCGCTTCATAAAAAGATACATGTCGTTGACGATCGCCTCGCGGTTGTCAAATTTTCCAGTTAAAATTTGTTTTAAGATAATGTATGTAGTCTTAATTTCAAAATCATTTAGTTCATACCTTCAGGAACCGTTACATAACAAAAGCAGCAAATGTCCGTAGGTAATAACAACAATAAACTATTTCAAAGCATGAAAATTCGATATTTTGAACATTGTCGATTTGATCGGTAGCATTTGCACAGAAACTGTGAAACAAATTTACTCTCAGTAAATCCTAAACTGTAGATAATTATCTAAATTAAATGTTTTCTAATTTTATTTTCAGCTGGTTACACTCCAGCACATACAAAACTATTTAGATTTACCCCCTACAATACTTTCTTCTTCAATGTTTTGATCTGCGTTGCCGATCGCAACTGCGTTGCCGATCGCGCGTTGACAGGGGTGACACAAGGACGATGGTGAGCTTTCAGCTCAGGTGAGCTATAAAGATGAATGCTTATATTTGACAAGAATAACGCAAAAAAAAATACCTGACAGACTATCATAGGATCTGCCACTCCCTCTTTTCTGCCACCCTGCATCTACGCTTACAGTCAGATCTTCACTTCCTGTTTTTCTGTTTAATAAAACACATACATACGGCAGATGGTAACGGGGGTCTTAATTAAGATCTAATTCAAATTAAAAATATTCCTTTTTCTCTCCTGTCTCTACTTTACCTTTTAGTGAGGTTAATTTCTTCCTGAAGTGCTTTCTCAGTGGATTCTTTTGCCATCTCTCTAAATGCAATGCCAACATCTCTCTGTCTAGCCAGTAATGTTGTATGGCTCACGGGTGGTATATTCAAGTCAGAGAGCAAGGTATTCAATTGCCTTTCACCGATACCTGCATTGACTGTTGCTGAAAATGTAACTTAGAATTAACCCAAGTTGAAAGAAGAAGTGTTTTTTTTATTGAATTATTGTTAAGTGTTTGAAATTTTTCTTGAGTCAAGAGAATATTTCACTCTGATGGAGATGTCACTGAAATAATTAATACACACCAGAAGCAAGTTTTACATTTGCATCCCATATTCTGTCTTTTCTCTTCCCCGTCGGTACATTGTTTACCAGCTTGCAGGATGTATTACTGCAGGGTATCTGCAATTGAACAATATTGCACTCAATATATACCACAAGTGCTTAATGAATAGAAATAGACATGTCATTTTATTTTGCACCTCAATATTTCATCATATTAAACTTATTATATATATAACAAGAGGCCAAAGTTCCTCCTCAGTCACCTGTGTACCACTTGCCAATGGAGAGAGAAAATGACTAATGCTTTCAAATACCCCTACATCCATTACAAAACTATTCAATAATCAATATAAAATAATAATTGGACAAGTAATTCACTACTAATTTAGTTTTATTTCCCTTAAAACTGTTACGTAGTTTGTTTTTCTGTATTTAAAAAGTTGATAATAGACCTTTAAAAGTTGAGCTACCCCTTAATCTAGACAAAATTAAAATCCTTCAACCTAAAGATGGTTTGTGACAAGTTTGGTTGATATTGGCCTCAAAGGAGAAGTTATAAGCGGACGACATGCACACTTACAGAAATAGTGTAAGATAAATTTTATCTTCACTTTTGACACACGTCTGTACTTTCTATTTTACAACGGGGAATATCTCTAATCGAAAGAAAGGAATTCATGGAAAGAAAAAAAATTATCAACAAAGTAACATGAATCAGGTAATTACTCAACGACCGATTCCTTGTTAATATAAGAATTCAAACAACATTTTTATTATGATTAGATACAATTGTGCGCTGTCTGGGATTGATTAGTGATACGTAATTTTGAGCCTCCGTGACCGTCGTTTGGTGGATTATATTATGACTTGCCGATACTGTTAAAATGGTTTGATACATGTGGTCACTATGACCACGGATTCATCTCTGCTTCTGACTGCCTTTTAAACCATAATTTCCGTTTACGGGTAGCAAAACCACCCTTTGCGCGTCCCATTTTCTGTCGTCTGTCAATTGAGGAAATTGCGCGTTGTGGTTACTATGTAGATCGGAAACGGGTCAATTGTCGTAAAAAAACAAAACAAAACAGGGGTAGTCAATGACAATTCATTCCACAGGAACCTGACATACATGTACGTACCAGCAGGCTGTGAATTATTTTTCAATTCAAGTACATGTATAGCATCTTTCTGTAGCCGTTGATGATCTATTGCAATGAATTTGTTTTTTCTTTTATTGCATCCAAACAATCTTCCACATATACTGTCAGTGGTATTTAAAAGTCATAGTCAGACACTTTTTCAACTTCATCTAAATTTTCAAGTAATGATACCTTTCTTTCATCAACCTGATCATCAAATTCTTAGTCAGCATCACTGATACCTTAATATTGAAAAAATTCTGTTTCCATGTTTAGATGATTCTCTTCTCTCGGTATCAACATTCTGTACAGAATGACAACAAGACAAGATTTTCTTAGGATAACCATAGGCTTTTACTCTACTGTAAAAATAGTCGCCCGCGTGGCGCGAAGGTTAGAGGATCTGTTCTAAAGTAGCGAAGTAAGGATTTAATCCTTACGTCGCGGGTTCGAATCCCACTGTGGGACGTGGAAACCGGTCCTTCGGATGAAACCGTACAAGCCGAGGTCCCGTGTCGCAGTAGGTGCTGGCACAAAAAAGATCCTTCACTGCTGAATGACCCTTAATGCCAAGTACAGGAAAAAAGATGCAGTTATCCACCGGCAAGTGGTGGCGTCTCCATATGAGTGAAAAATTCTCATGAGGGACGTTAAACAAAATATGATCAATCATTCAACAATACTATAAAAACATAAGACATTTTTTCTGGTCTGCGAACTAAACTTTGAAAAGTTAACAGCGCTTAAGAGTCAGTCCGCGAGAAAACCATGCAGAACTGTCCAAATCGAAGGTTGTAATATCTTAATGAAATTTGGTGGGTAGTTAGACTTTACAATATGTTATTCAAAAATGACCAAAAAAATTTCCATCATTCAACATGTCAGCCGTAGGCAGCGCCACCTCCTTTTTGCACATTTAAGTGCAAATGCACTTAAAAAATTCAAGAAAAATGGTAAAATTCACATTTGATTTATTTTACTCAAAATTAAACTTGCATTTCCATTAAGGTATTTTTAAGTAACATAAGACTATGTTCTTTCAAAATTGACATTTATCATAATCAAATATGCAATATATCAAAGGGCAGACAACTCTTGAAAATTGGCATGATGCCAATTTTCAAGAATTGCCAAAAGTATTACAAATATAATGCCCCAAATCTTCCAAGACCAATCTTTGAAATTAATTTTTTTGATTTTATTGTGCAAATATAATTCTAAACATTATCTTTGCAAAATATTGAGCTTGGGAAATAATAAATAATTGAGATATGGGGATTTACAAATTGCCATTTTTCGAAAAAATTGCTCAAATTCAAATGGGTTACAAAGTCAAATATAGTACTTTAAATTAAGCAATTGTTGTTAGATATTGAAACATGTAACAATTTTCTTTGAAATGATAATTAAGATTGAAAAATATTAAAATTAAAAATTAAATAAAACTAAATTGTCAGAAATTACCCCTTATATGAGGAATAGCATTTTTGCCAATTGTTTAGAAAAGAAAAAAAAGCATAATAAATTGCATTGGCTTACTTGCAATTTTTTTTCAACAATCATATGAACATATATGTTCCTTACATTTTGTAAGTTAGTTTCTTTTTAATCAATAAAAGGGAAATTACAAGTATTTAAATTCAAACGGACTCTATTTCAGTATCATTCATATGAATTTTGAGACTTGAACATATAAAATTTGAGCCTTCAGTAAGTTGTTTGCTTTCTGCCAATTTTAAATTGGTACAATCTTATAAAAATACTGACAGGAGATGTTATACAAAAAACTCCATAAAGGAGTTTAAGAAAATGAAAGATGCTGGATTTTACTTTTATCCCACCTCACCTCTCGAATCAAACAATTGTCTTCTTTTTTCACTTGGCAAATTCTTTTCAGGTAAGTTTTAATTTTAACCCCCCCCCCCCCCCCCCCCAACCCTTTCAAAATCGTTTCTACGTCACTGCTATGACTGCGATTTTCCTGCAGAAGAGATTTTATGATTATGAATAAATCAACTTGAATTAAATAATGGGGGATTGGATTTATAAAATATATATTGTTTATAAATTTGTGTATTTAAGGTGATTTAATCTTTAAAACAAAAATATGTTTTCCTTTCCGTTTTCCGTTCCTCGTTTTAGCAACACCCCTCCAAAATCCTTATCATTTTTCATTATTTTATCCATTTCAATATTAGTATGTAAATTGTGGGGATGTGGATGGGGTTAAACGATTGGGTACTAGATACACTCGACAGAAGTTGATAGCTCCCCCCCAATTTGAATGAACAGTCATTTAGGGTATTCCTAGCTGCAGATCTGTAGCTCTCCGAAAAAAATATTGATAGACCGGAGAGCTACAGTGCCACCCATTGAAAAAACTGTATATTTATTGCGCACAAAAAAATGCGCTCGGTTTTCGATTTATTTTCCCATGTTTTTAAAACTGCAATCTCAAAATATTACTAACCGTATATGTTCCTAACACATTCTTTCGCTGTTTCCAAAACCAAACATTCCTCATAATTGTTGTTAATAGTCCTCCTGATCCTGATATTGTAGTCACGAACATTTCTTTATTTAAACTGCCATTTTGGTTTCAAAGATAATTCTTTTCGTTCAGATGTCAACTACGAGAGTAATTGATAAAGGAGAGAGGATTTTTTTGGAATCTTCCCTATTTTGCGGTTGAGGTAAGAATTTGGAAGAATTAATCAATTTTTTTGTGCGCAATAAATACTTAGTATACAGTTTTTTCAATGGGTGGCACTGTAGCTCTCCGGTCTATCAATATATTTTTTCGGACAGCTACAGATCTGCAGCTCACACCTTTTACCAAAATGTTTACATTTTGACTGCAGATGATTTTATTAAAAACTTTTCACATGGTTGTTTGGTATCAAAGGAAAGCCAATTTAGTGAAAAATCAGATCTACTTTATAGAACGAGTCTATCTTCGATACAGCGACCTTGACGGGGGTTATATTTGGATCACCTTTTTAGTGTATTGCGAATCACTTCCGGGTATTTCGAATCACCAGGGTGATGAAAACGGTCAGAAAACATCATCATAATTGATGAACTAGTTAGTATAAAAAGCTCCAAGAATAAAAAGAATTAAAATTTTCTTCATTGTTCTTGTTTATTTAAAAGTTAGGGGACGACCATTTGATTCTGAGAAACATCATCATGTTGAATTAATCTGTCCTCTCCTGCAAAGAAAATAAATAATCTGACCTTGACTTATGAGTGAAAATAGTATTGTTTATAAATTTAAAATCAGATTACCCCAAGAATAAAAAGAATTCTTAAATTTTCTTCATTGTAAGTTTTTTAAAGGTTTCAAAGAATTATACTTCCCGATAAATTAATACAAAGTATACATTGCACTTTAAACATCTGTATTCAAAATTTCAAAGTATGATATGAATTATATTAATATTGCATGCTTTAAGTACAAAGCAATTTTTTTTGCCTATTACCGAGAAAATAGGGGTTTAATTATGTCAGAAATTACATAATTGACTGTAAATTGTTGATCCTATTAATAATGTAAATATAATTATGTCACTTTTTTCTAGGGAATGCCTCCACCAGTGCTTCGCCCAGAACCCACTGGGGGCCTTAACCCGGCCCCAGACCTCTTGCTTGAACGAAGTTATACACACCCCCCATCCTGAATCCGCCTATGGTATATAAATGATTTTTTAGAATCAATTCGCTGCAAAACAATTAAAAATATAATTCCGTCTCACCAGAATCGGTCGTCCCCTTACCAAAATAAAACATCTTTTCAGAAATCATGCAGAAAAGCAATTATTACCAAGAAAATAGGGGTTTCATATATAAATTGTTGTCGAAATATAATTATGATATAAAACAATTAACATTGTATTAATTCTACGATGTATGATAATAAAAGAAATGTGTGAAAAGGAATAAAAACTAGCTCTTTTTTAGATATATGTATCACAATTATTAAATTAAATAACTTTTATGTATGACATAAATCAAATGTT